TTTTTTTTCAATGGATTTTAAACAAACATAATATGACCGCGGAAAAACAAAAAAACAAATATTTGTAAGCCCATGACGTCAGCAATTTTTTTCAAGTTTCAAGTAAAATTCGCGGCATTCTAAATTCCACAAACAGTACGGTTTAATTTTTCTCACTTCTTTGGCAGTTTTTTTTTTAGGATTTCGTGAGTGGACAAAATACGAAACTCAAAATGCCAAGAGAAACTATTTAGAAGCACAGAAATTGAATTTCCATTTGAGTCAAGATTCTGGTCATTATCCCTCACAGTTTCAGGTAAATTTTACTTGAAAAAAAAAAAAAATGTTCCACTCAATTTGTATGTTCAAGAATTTATAACGTAGTCAATTATTGAGCTGCACCAATATTGCATGGATCTTTCCCCAAGATCCATGCAATTAATAAAAAAATTGAAATTATACGTTAAAATTTTCCAAAAGAGCACATGAGTACTGCATGATTGAATCAAACATTGTTTTCGAAAATTTAATTTTCCTAATTTCCATGCCTTTGGCTATCCTAGTCAAAATATTGGAAAGGAGAGTAGAAAAAATAAGGCCAAGCATTTTTAATTCGTCTGTGAGATTATTCAACTCAACAGGTGAGTTTCTTGGGAATGTTGACTTGAATGAGATCTGTTAAGTGGATTAGTCAAGAGTACTTTAATTCTAAAATTTTCATGATATAGAGATGATGATGACAACTTCGAAGAATTTGACATTGTGGTGTTGTGAAACAAACACAGCCACGGTCTATAACCAAACACTTCAAATGGAATAAATCAAAATGGATATTGAAAAAATGAGGAACACTAACTGCAAAATATGAATACTGTATCAACATTGGAAGATACTATTTGACGCAGAACCCAACTCATACACACTTTCGGTTTTAGAATTAATTCACTCATCTACAAATACAGACACACATAAATACTGTATATTAGTACTGTACTGTATATGCATTTACAGTATACAGTATCTTTCAAAGGAGTTCATCGTTTGAGATACAGTATCCTGGCACAGTACTTCGACTCGGAACAAAGGAAGTGAAGAAGTTCATACGTGATGAACTTGACCCCGCTTAAATGCAACTTATCTTATCTAGTTTGACGGGGTAAAAGTTCAAGTTACTCCCCTTTTCATTCCTCGCACAGTTCCAGATGCAGATGGAAAACATGTGATTCATTGTTTCATAAAATTGTCAGTGAAAATGATTGCAAAATAGAAAAACGGCGAATTTTTCAGAAAAAAAAGTTAGAAAAATACGATTTTGCTGGATTTATTGTGTTCAATCTTTCTTTCCTCACCGCAGAAGAAGACGGGTGATTAATAGGAAATGCAGTAGTATCATTACTGATCAGTTAAATAACGTCCTTGTTCACAAAAAAAAAGTGTACATGATACACTCATCTGACGGGTACATATCCAACAGTAAATTGACGGAAGAGTACATTAATGTACACGAGTACGGCAGTCTTCGACAGAACCCCATTTTTTTTAAACCAATAAAGCGACTGAAAAACCAAAGTCGAGCGACGACAAGGAAGCTGTACAATGTTCACAAAAACGGAATCCTCAGAAAAATCAACCGTCCAATGGTAAAAAAAAAAAAAAAAAAAAACATCTGAATGAAACTGTTGGAGTTTCATCCGAGTATTGTGTCAGTCGAATTGAAAGACTTCATTTGAATGTAAGGGAAGAATTTCATTTGAGTTAACTTTATAAACCGAGTTTGAGATTAATTGTACATCGGAAAATATGTATATAGTACAGTACTGTACACATGTACAGTATAAGTTAATTTAGGCAAGCAGTGAGGTCGTGCTTTACTCCGAAAAAATGCCTACATCCCGTTTGAAATTCACGAATTTAATGCAGTAACAGAAAGTCACAGATTTATGCATGCTGTACAATAATACTTCAATAATTCAGAGAATCGCCTCCTATAATAGAGCAAAGTGTATATATTTTCATAAAGAGTCGAAGCATAATAACTCCAACCTCCCCGAAGTAAGAATACCTCCCCATGTAAATTTTTTTCAATTCCCTGTCTGAATTGATCCTACCCCTCATTTGCCTGCGCTTAACCCACCCAAAAAAAGGCAGAAAAAGGGTCACAGGGATGCCGCTCGCCACCCCTCCTGTCCGGCATCAGAAGACAGCTAGCATAGTCCGTATTTTGGGGATACAAAATTAAAATTAATTCAGATGTTATTTTACGAGTATGCACAGACAGGGGTATCTGAGGGCAGGATGTCCCATGCACCAAAAATATCAGGAAGGAAGAGGAGGGGAGCTGAGCAGGCGCGGAAAGTTGACAACAAAGGACCCCTGCGGGACCCTTTTTCTGGGACCATTACTGCGTGTAAATGAGTTCCTTGACGTCTGAATTCTTTTAGAAAAAATGCATCAAAAATCTCGCTAATTCGAAATTTCTTGAGGCCCTTTACGTATTAATCAATTCATTTTATTGACACATGTAAAAGAAAAGCAAAAGAAGTAACTAGATGCTTTTTCGAAAAGAAAGTGAAAGACTAATTGTGCAAATGAATGCTTGCCTCCAAGTTCAGCATACCGTCAACTTCTTTACAAAGCAGTTTTGGAAAAAAAAATTTTACTTCCTTAGAATATTTTTTTCCAATGCAAAAAAAGAAATTATTGTTGCTGGTCCCAATTGCAATTCGACTTGAAGAGGTTCAAGTAAACTACAGCACTGTACATATCGAGACTTTTTACGCATGTACAGCACAATAAAGCTACTATGACGAGAGAGGACGAAACACGAAGAGACGACAATCAACGCCATCAGGTTCACCGAGTGAGAGAGAACGCAATATGCAATTACACTTGCAAATGAGCAGACAGTCGTCGATACATGTGCACATCCAGTAATAAAACGTACCACATTATGCGGAAGGGAGTAGCCTTTCAGGTACTTGACGTTCTCATGCTCCGTGTTGATGACCTCGGTCAACTTGCGACCATCGGGAAGAATTTCTTCGAACACCCAAAGCTTCACTTCCTCGTCCATCATGCTCATGGTACGCACATTCGCACCAACAATCCTGGCGATCGCAGAACCCCTATACACGAAGAAAAAAAATAAGCAATCACAACCCATCAACAAAATGAACCTTAATGATGGTACAACGCACGAAGAAACTGCGAAGGAAAGAACAAGAACCGTAATTCAACGGTGATAGGACGCCATCTCCATACATCACGACACACCTTGCATTTTTAGTCTGACTGAACAAGGAAAAACTCAGTTTGTGAATCTGATGCTGACACGCCTTAACTTACGGTGCCACGAACAGAACTCTTCACACGGAGGACCGACAAGTGAAGTACAGTACTGTACACCGGTTCTCAAAGGAAAATATCAGATCAAACTCTAATAATTATCACGGATGGAATTTGATTCCGAGCGAAGTTATCTACGTAAGCAATTAAACTCGTTTTATCACTAAATGGAATGGGATTTTGTGTGCGACTCTCTGACGCATCCTGCTTTGTGAGTCACAAATCGAAAACATAGGGTCTTGAATAAGTCAAACGACTCGCAAAATTGAAACTGAAGGTGCACAATGTAAACTCACCAGTTGCCAGAACCGATGATTGCGATCTTCTTCTTTTCTGCCATAATCCTCGCGAAGACGACCTCAACGGAACAGTTTTTATATCACAATCAAGTTCGAATTCTCTCACTTCGAAGCACAAATGAACACGTGGAAGGAAAGAGAGGAGTTGTTTTCAAAACACGGAACAAAACTTCGCAACAAATCAACACGAACATTTTCACAATAACAAGTACCATCACTTTCCACTCGGAAGTTTCGAACTTTATCGCACGGTTCAAAAGGTGAAGGACGAGACACATAAAACCGAATCTCTGAAGATAGAGAAACGCAGCACTTTCCGATAATCCTCGAAAGCCTTTCTTTGAATAAGAAAGAAAACACGGCACAGCACAGCACGCAGATACGCACGAAATCACAATAATGCTCAAGCGGATTAACCGTTCGGAGTAACATCAAGCATAAAATGGTGGTTCACACAATATAGTATTCCTAAGCACATCGAGATTCGTATTGCAGTCAATCCACGTGATACATTTTTCAATATACAGTCCGTTTTTACAATAATGACGAAAAGATCCGCACCGAAGAGATGCAGTGTCACATTCCATTTCAAATTGTTCACCAGGAAGTCATGCGCGAATAAATTTCACCGAAGCACTTGCAACATAAATGGTTTGACCCGCATACAAATTAACTGAAATGATCATCATTTAGCGAACAGTTTTCCTGACCTCATCTCAATTGAAGGATAACGTATGTTGGTTACTACAGCTGCAGTTGAACTTTGAAAATTGAAACATCTCCAATCAAATACCTCATCATGTCAAGTTTTTTTCCTGCCTGTCTGACTTGAAAACAATGCACAAAAACCTCATCAACTCAAAAGGCTTTCCTTATTGTCAAATCTCCAGAACTTGCACTTTCTGGAGGCCTTCTGGCTATCATTTAATTCACATAAAGAGAAAAGCAGTAAAAATGTATTCTTATGTGTTGTGAAAGTAAGTGAAATACAGTACTAATTGGGAAAATGAACCCGTGCCTCTAATGCTCTAAATTCAGCATAGTCCTGTCAATTCATTGAAAGAGAAGTGCAAGGCCAAGATTATTACCAGCAGCAATTACAATTTCCTGTAATTCCTTTTTCTTTCCCTCTCTTGGTGACTCAAAACCTGCCAAACTCGGGTTTGTTCGCTTGTCCATTGAAGTTCGACTTAAAGAACAGTCAGACCTGCATTCCATTCCTCAATGTTCTTCGTGATTCAAACATTCTTCGAAACCCTTACAATTTTTACCATCAGCTCCGGTGATGCACTTCTTATACGAGTATCCCACACCACAAAGGACAAATGAGGATTTGACACCTAATAACGAATTCGTAATGTTCGATCACACAGTAATAACTTTCGGGACACTTTCATCGAACAGCCTTGGGAAATAGTGGATCACCAGCATCACCCGAAGTGGTAAAATCCTTATGAACAGAAACCCGATTTGCTTCGAGCTCTTCAAATAGCGTAACTTATATTCATTCACTGCTGATTGATACGCTCAATTAAAAACTCTTGAATTGTTTGCAATATAAATTCCCTAATTCACAGCGTCACGTAGGTGGACTTCGTTGAGCGCGAGGATATGTTTTTAGACTCCGACAATGATTCACGAATTGCCAGATTTATTGTTCATACAAAATAGTATAGTACTGTTAGCATGTTATTCGCGGAGCTGTTCTACTCGGTGTGATTGGAATAATGCTGAAGCAAACAGTTCATCAACCCATCTATATAGAACTTTCACTCATCCAAGCGGACACTCAATTTGAACAACTTCTCACACCTATATAATAACCCGGCATTCTTGCAACAGCGCGTGGCGGTCTTACGTTCACGATAAAATTTTTCCACGATTACTTCAACACGCAATATTATGAAGACTTTCCGAACTGTTCCTTCAAACGCGTATCTTCAGATGGAAGGCACTTGTTAACTGCCTTTTCAATAGAAGAAAAACACGGCTCAGAAGAGTGACACAACCCCGTCTTAGCGGGAGACGACAGTCGAGTGACTGGTTTTCAAAACGTGACGCGCCAGAAAACAGTCGGTATATACGAACAACTTCGTTGAACAATCCTGCGCGCGCAGGTTCCAGCACATCTACGATGTTTCCCCCCCGGAAACATTAGGACATTGGTAATCCATTGGATCACAATTTATTTTTCGCTAAAGCAAAATAACTTATTTGATTCCTCTCGTGCGTTGGGAACTGGACTATAGAGACAGTTTTAATTGGTCTGTTTCCATGATGAGCAAGGGCATTTTCCGAAATATGCGGCAGAGAAGCGTTACTATAAACGGGTTCATCAGAATTTTAAATCAAAATGAATTTCAAAACGCACAAAAAGAAACCTCAGTATTTTTTTTCGTACAATCGAAACTCTTGAAGTCAAACTTCATCAAGGGACCAGCAACAACATTTGAGTGAGAGGTTTTTTTTTTTAGTTGGGAAAAACAAGCATTTTTGTCAAGGGAATAAAGAAAGAATAAATACAGGGATAAATTATTATAATTGGTGATATTCTGGGGCTTGAATTCTTTGTTACATCAGCTGACAGGATGCTGAACTTGGAGGCAAGGATTAATTTGTCTTATTAGTCTTTCACTTCTTTTCAAAATGCATCAAATTACATTTTTATTGCTTTCTCTTCCCTGTGTCGATAAAATAACAGCCAAAAGACTTCCAGAACATTTTGAGGTATGGATGTTTCAGGGGGAAAGTCTTTGAGTAAGGAAGTTTTTTAATGCATAATTTCCAAAGGAAATTCAGACATGGACTTGAGAAAAATTAACATGGGGAAGGTATTTGACTTAGAAAGGTTCATAAGTTATCAAGATTCAACTGTAACATGAATAATTGGCAATAGATTTTGCGAAATACAAGGTTCAACTGCGGTTTTTTAGAACCTCATTCCTGGCAGAAAATGAAGCTCAATTCACACATCCTTCAATCAGCACAGAAACCTTCTCCATTAAAAATGTCTATTACATTGAAATACTTCGCAAATCAATTTAAAGGCCTTCACTGAAATGTACACCTTCTTATGAATTTGCTAAAAAAAAGAAGGGTAGTAATTCAGTTTCCAGATCCGGCGAGAAAATGGAATTTTCTGGAACCAGTTTGATTTTTATTTCAGCAACTGAGAAAGCAATGTTCGTTTATTCGGCAAGTTACAGCAATCGCAACATAACTTGGTCACCATAGAAAAAAAACATTACATGGATTTCCTTCATCATAATGAAAACATTCAATTGAACATGTTTCAAATCCTCTAAACTAGTCAAATCTAGCTTTATGTCAATTCTCTGCTTCCTGAAGAGACAGTATTTTTGAAATCTTGGAAATGCAGGTGATTTGGATATGATTCAAAAATTCAGGTCTGTGCTGTCTCTTCAAGTGACGAAAAAAAAAGCATTCAACCATATATTATTTCTCAATAATTTATTAAAAACTATCTTAGTGAATACACATTGTACAGAGTTGTAAAGATGATGATGAATGTCACACAAAATGTTCAGTAGGAACACACAGTAAAATCTTTCAAGAGTTGCAGTTCTGCATCTTCACAGAAACTATAGGATAATGTTTTTGAAGAGAGAAAAAAAAAGAATTTGAGATGAACCCTGCCTGCTCTTGGAAAAATGGAGAATACACTCACGTTTTCATTTGTTGTAAAATAAATCAATTATCATTGAAATAATTTGAAAATTTTAGAAAATGTAGGAAACTTCATGATGAAAGCAACATGAAGTTCTCAATTTTTGTCTTGCCTGAAAAAATTTCAACAGCTTTTGACACGGGTGGAGAACTCTTGCAAAAACCGGAAAGTTTTCACTCATAACCATGCAGTAAATGTAAAATTTTAAAACAAAAATCCCAGAACCTTACATTTGCATGGGTTTTATTGTGCAAATTTTTTTTGCAGTGATACCTACTCTAGAAATACCCAAGGCCAATCGGAAGTAGGACAACCCTTGTACAGTATAGGGAAAAGGTCCTATAGCACAAATAACTATGCGTCCGCATTTCATACGTACGTAAAAACTTGAAACCCAATTGATTTCAAGTTATTAGAAAATAACTTGAAGTCGAGTTAATCTCGCTACATTTCATCCTTTCGAAGTTCTGTGCAAAATGTTCACACCATCATGTAAAAAAGACGACAAATCTCTCAACAAGAACCAGTCCTGCTATGAAACGCCGAAGTTAGTCGATAATTGCGCCAATGAAAAGAACTCTTGAACGCACAGAATTTCAAACTTTTCAGATTCAGCATAAGAAATTCACAAAAAAAGATTCATCACCAAGTAATGAAGTCCTAAAAAAAATTGGCGAAAACGTCAGTTACTCCCATATGCATTCCAACTAATGTATATAAATACACCACATGCCCTTTTTTACGCTTTAGAACTTGGATCATCGTCACTCGATTCGCGCACCGCACAACTTTCAGTAAAATAACCCGCGAGGTTAAAACAAACAAATGAATAAAAATCCGCACCGGAGTACCTGCAAGCAAAATGACCCGTTATTCAGTTAGTTGCCCAAGTACAATGGAAAGAATCGCATGCAAAAATTAGACCGAGAAAATTCACGACAGCTGACACTCAATTTTTTCTTCAAAGTTTCCAACATGGTCAACATGACAAATATATAGTCTCTTGCACACACAGCAAACCGATAAAAAAAAAATTCTCAGCCTATACTGTATAATACTCTCCGCACTGGCTTCATTCAACGCTGCTGCAGCTTAAAACCCAAGCATAGCAGTTATTGCTTTGGAAAATTAATCCAATTGGAACCAGGTATTTTGAAGAAATTCACAGTGAAGTACAACTAACTGACCATAGTTGAACAAGAAAATTATCGGAATTTCCATTCATATTTTTGAACAATGCACAGCATACAATTCATTGTAGCTATTCATTCACTTGCTGGCTCAACCATGCTATAAGTTCAGTTAAGTCAGATGTCGCCTGGATCTGAAATCTAGTCAAAAATGAAATGCAAGTGGAACTCTGCCTAAAACAAAATTCAATGGAATGAAATGAAGCTGAAGAACAAATGAAGCTAAAGAATAAATGAAGCTGAAGATATTTCACAAAGAAAAAAGAATGCTGATCATTCTCTACACTGCAAAATTTGCTCCACAAAAGCCTTCCTCTTTCAATGAACTTGTAATACTGACAAGAAAGTTTTTTTGTTACATTTTATTTCTATTATCAAATAATCCCTTTGGCTTTCTCACAGAATCAAGGCAAACAATTTTTTTTTGTACAGAGATTACAGTTAAAAGCCAGAAAATATTCAGTGCAGAGATAATTTTGATGTAAAGAACTCCCACAACAAGGGGAAAATCTCCATTTATGGAAAAAAAAGTAATTGCAGAGAGTAAATCGTTGCACTGAGTCCACCTGTAACCCATTTTATAACCCAGGAACCTCAGGCGACATCTGTATGCAACGCTCGAAATCACGAAGTTGTGGACATCTAGAATTGAAGCGAAAAAAAATGATTTTCTTCAAAAACCAATGATTTTTCAAGCTGTCATTAATTTAAAAGCACAGTATTGACATTAAAAAAATCAATATTTAAATATGATTTATCATACTAAGTGAAACTTGAAAAAAATTTTATAAAAATCAACCATGCTACGCCGAATACTTCCAGAACTTAAACCCTCTAAACCTCAGAATTCTTACGAAGCCCCGCAATATTCCTCATGCTGAAATGAGCTTCTAAAAGACGTACATTTCAATAACAATCACTCTTTCAAAAACCACGAAATCTTTACTTTTAAATGACCAGTATATTGGATTCTACGCAACACGATCGCGCGCTTTTGAGAAACTTCAAGAATAACCTTTAAAAAAAAAACTCAAACCTGGGTCAGGTTATACACTGAAAAAGAACCAACAACAGCCTCGAGGAAACTAAACACTTCCAGCTTAAATGTGAAAACTTGCATCCAAAAAATCCCTCAAAAAAAAAAAAAAAAAAAAATCCCGCAAAATTTTGGCCAAGAATGATAATATGCCACAAGTTCGCAACGCATAAAAATAACTCACAATATCTCCGGGACTACAATTCCCATTGCACAGCGTTTTCGTCTCACTTTTCAAGCAAAAAAAAAAAAAAAAGCTGGAATATCCACAACACGTCAATCATCACCAAGTCTTCTCACACTCTCAAATATCATGAAATAAATCCTCCATCCCTTATATATATTCTATTCAAGGAAGTACAGTATTAAAAAAAGCCTCTATACATAAGCAACTGTGGCCACATAACACCCCTGCTGTAACACTCCATGATGATGATGATGATTAAAAGCAGATCAACCATCAGTCTGACCTTCACATCCTCAACAATCTAGAAAGTTTCCTGCGCAAAAGAAAATACTGCAGTCAAAAACATCTCATCGCGGAAAAAAAAACAGGATCTTTCGTGATACTCGAACACGGAACAAAACCGAAGCCAACAAATAAAAAAAAAGCTTCCAAACACGGAAATTTTTGCACACTGACGCACTCAATACTTCAGCGTTCGAAACCATCGTCAGAAGGCACTCATTTTTTTTTTGAGCGAAAGGAAATAATGCAGGACATATATACCTTTACGCTTTCCTCGGAGATTTCGCCAATTTGGCGCGATTTTTAAGCAAGGTCGTGCTCGGCAGGTTTTCGTAGCGTTCGCAGGAAAAGTAACGGTCCAGACGTTCGAAAGTGGGTCTGTCTTCCGGACGATAGGCCCAACAATTCTCCATGATTTTATACACGTCCGAAGGACATCGAGCGGGTTTCTCCAGTCGATCCCCTCTCTCAAGCATGTCGTTTATCTTGAAAAAAAAAAAATTGAAGGAACTAAAAATAATAATCCTTGCACAGCATGAAGTATCCTTTTTGTTCGTCATGTTCAAAATATGGCCGAGGAAGTTTTGCGAAATGTGAACCACTTTAGAAATTCCAGACATCAGCACGGCAATATTTTAGAAAAAAAAAAGAACTTGAAAACATTTGTTTAGGCTCGTCTTCCTCAATATTCATTCCAGGAAAAAAAAGGGTTGTCCCACTCCCGCGTGTCTATGGAAATTCCGACACTGCTCGAGATAAAAAATTTCACAAATGTTTTCTCATGATGCTCCAAGCATTTGCCAATAATTTCAAATCATCAAGAAATTTTTTCAAGACACGTAACTGCGTAATGAAAATTGAAAACTGCAGTTATGACGAAAGTTTCCCATTGATTTTCACAGAATGCTGAAAATTTGCCTTGAGCGTTTTAAAAATTTGAAATTTGGGTCGTGTGTAGAACATTACTGTATGCTAGAGAATCAACATGCGGAAAGAATAACCCTGTAGACCAAAATCGAATTCGTTTAACAAAGAATATCGTTGTATAGACAAAATCGTTTCATAGAGAAAATCCACTTGTACTCGAAAAGCTGTGCTGAACGGTGTTCTGGCAAAACATTTTTGAACAAACTCTCGCAAAAAGTGACAAAATCACTTATTCTTCAGCTATAAGCAGACAACAGTTGGATTTCGTACACAATTCACACACACACACACCTCTGCTCCAGACATTTCTCCATACGGAGTTGCTCCGAGTGAATGCATTTCCCACAACACGATCCCGAAACTCCAAACATCACTAGCAATGGTGAATTCCGCAAAGGAAAAATTCTCTGGAGCGTACCTAAAGTCGAAAAAAGAGAAGAAAATTCGGTTTAAAAAATGTTGAAAAAATCAAATTAGTATATGAAAAATAAAAACAAATAAATTTCACCATTTGACGGGCCATTTTCCACGATTGGAAGCAGTGTAAATATCTTCACCACGTCCCAGTGCTCGACTTAATCCAAAGTCGCTTATTTTCACCAGCAAGTCATGCTTCAACAGCAAATTTCTGCACGCCAAATCTCGATGCACGTAACGATTCTTTTCCAAGAAACACATACCTGAAGGTGAAAGAAATGAGAAGTATTGATTTAATGCTTCGAACATATCTCTCTCTCTCTCTCTTTTTCACACAAAAAAAGCCTGTCACTGACATGAAAATGAGGCAAACTGAAAATATTTTTGTCAAACTGCAGTTCAAGTCCATATAGTCAAATCTCTTCAAGTCAAACTTCAAGGGACAAGCAGAACAATTCACTTAGGGACAATCCTTTTTGTTGGGGGAAAAAAAGAAGAAATATAGAAAATTGTAAATGGTGATATTCTTAACTTTAAATTGCTTTCCCAATCAGTTGACATGATGGTTAACTTAGAGGCAAGGGTTCATTTGTCCAATTAGTCTTTCACTTACTTTCAAAATGCATCAAGTTATATTTTCATTACAGCAGTTTGTCAAGCCCACACTTGAAATCATTTAAAAGTACAGTGAGATCCCAAGGTGGAAACATAATTGGTGCATCAAGAGTCCCTAAGTCAAGTCTCACTTTCCCTTAGACTTACATCATATAATATTTAATTGGTGTTCTACATACAAAACACTCCCCATTATTCCATGAAAATAAAAATTTTCTCCCAATTTAAACTCATTCAATCAATATATTTCAAAACAATATGGACATTTGGGGAATTGAATACTGATACCTCTCTACAGTACATAAAAATGTTGGCATTCTCTGTAAAAAATAACAACCAAGTGAAAAAGAGAGAAGGAAGTCCCTCTGTGCTGGAGGTAATTTTTTAAAATTAGCTAAATGGATGGTAAATTGGTGAGAGAAATGCCCAAGAACTTTTCTTACATCATTTTTAAGGTTGGAAATATCTGTTTCTTGTAATTTGTCCAGACATGTATTTGCAATTTTATCACAAAATATTCCTATGTCGAGTCAGTGTCCTCATGTCAGGCCTTTTTTATTAATTTTTTTCAATGGGAAAATAAGTGTCCCTATGTCGCATTGTCTGCAGGCCAATGTGTCCGCATGTGGGAGTCTCACTGTAATAGTGTGTCAAAATCACCTTTCGCCACTTGAGCAGCCCATACACGAAAATGTTCCCCAGTAATCCTGTCTTTGTTCGTCAAGAGAAAGTCGTGCAACGAACCCAACCGTGCCAATTCTTGAACCTATAAAAAAGAAATCGCATGAAATGATCTGAAGTGAACATATTGAAATGCAGTTGGAATTTTTTTTTTTTTAAGCAGCGCAAAAATATAGAGACCATCATAAGCTGACTTCCTCTACAAATTCCCGCAATCTTGATGATGTGAGGATGGTCGTCGAGTCCGAGCATCATCTTGGCTTCATCCAGGAATTCCTTTTCGGTGTTGATCAGGGGAGAGTCGACGTCGTCGTCGTCAACATGTAGAATCTTCACAGCGACGTCGTACTAATGAAAAAAATTAAATATTGTTCAGGAAAGGTTCTGTACACTATGGGTGTCGGACATCCATGCGCGATCAAATTTCCGAGGATTTCATGAAGAAGTTTCACGAAAACATTCGACATTACGAATCAAGAAAGGCGAAAAAAGGTGATATTTGATGCGTTGTTTCCATTTTAACACGAGACCCAGCTTGCATGTAACCTTCACAAAATATTTAGATAAATAAACTCTCGCTAAATTTCGTAATTCGGTGGAAAATTGTCTTCACATCACTTCTGAGGTTTCTGATTCATCTGTTTTTCCATTTCCCCATTCGGTTCGCTTCGTCTTTTCCCTCAGTTTATCTTAGGGACATTCCATAATTTTCTGCACTACGTGAGAGAAAAAATTCAACTGCACCAGAAAAAGTGATTTTACGAATTAATGATAGTGACAAAGACCCATAGGAGGAAAAAGTCAACAGCACCCGGTGTTCCCAGGCGGTCTCCCATCCAAGTACTAACCGGGCTCAACGGTGCTTAACTGCCGTGATCGAACGAGAACGGGTGCTTTCAACGTGGTATGGCCGTTGACATCACATCACGAGAAAGGAACAGGCACTCCTACCACTACTGCACTTAGTTTATATGATACGATATTTTGAATTCATACGAACTGTATCAAGTTTTACGGACTACGTAATGCAAGGGACCATTGAAAATCATTGAAACAGTAGGTTTGCTATGTCTGTTACATCAAAGGGTGATGAACCTGAAATTAAAATGTATGTAATAAAATCAGCCATTATTGGGCAAATCAATTGAGGAAAAAAAGTTTGATGCCGTTTGAGAATCATCCTCAACGCAGGACATGAACACAGGATTTTCATTGGTTTGAAGAAACCTGAATACCAACAATTGGAATGGAGTTTCTTCCTTATCTTCAGAAACGGGGGAAAAAAAACGCGTCCGAGGATCCCTTGGTCAGGGGAGGTTCTGCATATTGGAAAAAATTATTTTCTGCAAAGAACTTCTTCATCTTCCTCACTTTCCAATGGAATAAAAGAGCAAGGAACAAAAATTGTTTTTGTTGAAGCCTTGAAGGAGCAATATATTTATTCTGCGTGAGGAAAAAGTCAACAGCACCCGGTGTTCCCAGGCGGTCTCCCATACAAGTACTAACCGGGCCCAACGTTGCTTAACTGCCGTGATCGAACGAGAACGGGTGCTTTCAACGTGGTATGGCCGTTGACGTACATTCCACCAATCTGCAACTATTTATCAGCCTGCCACAACCAATACTGCATCCATGTTAAATGCTGCATGTAAAAGTATACTGCACAGTATTTTCACAAAAGGTACCAAAAGTTCAAGTCGTCTTTCGGAATTTCAAGAATTTACAATGACTGGCTTTTCTAGGATACTGCATGGAAAGCAATACGCTTCGTTCCGGAAATACTGCACATCTGGATACTCCACGCGACAGAAACATCCGGTATTTTCGGAAAAGAGCTAGATAATGAATTGTACATAACAAGATTTGGCAATGAAGCAATCGATTTAAAATACCAGGGCACGTTGCACAAATTAGTCATAAATTAAATTGCCGTATTTTAGTTCTCTTTACATCAAAAATAATGTAAAAACTATAAATGAAAGGGCCATTTTCCGAATACCTCGTAAAACTAAATAAATAAACGTGACCGGAATCGCGGTTTCTTCTTAGGGTCACTGAGAAGTCAACAAAGCGGGCATTTCATACATTTCTCATTCATTAGAACTTGCGAATACATTTTCAACATTCACGGGCAGCTTCATTGCAGAAGACATAGGGCCAACCGTTGAAGTGGCCACCGAAAATGTACAGGGAATTCAAAAATTTATTTTTATTTATTCTACTAAAACTAAAGCCTTCGATATACATAAAGAAACGATGAAGGGCTAGAGAACATCTACGAACACGTGAATACAAAATATTGGACTCTCTCTCTAAAAAAAAAAAAATACAGCAAAATGAGATCAAAATAACAATTCTTGACTACGATTCGGGGAAGAATACTGTAATATTTTCGAACCTTCCAGCCGTATCATTTCTTCATCCAGTTGGGCTTAATCAATTCCAAATCGCACATGACCTAATTCACGAACAGACTTTCAAACTATAAATGTTGCTGTAGATACTGTAGACTGAAGAATTGTAGAGGATATTTTAAAGGTGTGAGGATGTAGATGAGGAGGCGACAGGATTCTTGAATACAGTACAATAAGACTGATCTCTTAAAACGATGAAGCCATTCAAATAAACGCGGAAAAATTGAATTAGGAAACAAAAAACACAGGACAAGTGAACATATCAATTCGAGGCTTCGAAAACGCAGATTCAAATTAAAAAAAAACAGAAACCTTGGCATTTCTGACTGATGAATACTTCAATGAATACCATTGCGTACAAAGCACTGGATTTTAATTTTCCCTAATGGGCGACAATTCTGGATGGTTCACAAATATTCTGGTCATCAGTGGAAAAGGCACAAACTTCACATTCAACGAAAGCATCAGAAATACGGGCAAAATTATATCGAGGAATATGTATCAATTGTACGAAATTTGAACACGTTCGCTTTGAATATAAAATCAAAGACACGGTCAATAAAAACACATCATCCTTGTCCTTCTTTTGTAAGAAATGAATTGTCTCTAGAATAGCGTTAACTTTTAGTTTGGTAATTCAGGCTTTTCCTTCAGAAAGGGATTATGCTCCCAACATAGGACTAAAATGTTTAAAATTAAAAAGAGAAAGAATGGAACTATCCATAAAATATAACTCATTTATAAAAAAAACAAAGTCGCACTTCCAAGATGGTAGAAAAAGTCAGCAGCACCCGGTGTTCCCAGGCGGTCTCCCATCCAAGTACTAACCCGGCCCAACGTTGCTTAACTGCCGTGATCGAACGAGAACGGGTGCTTTCAACTTGGTATGGCCGTTGACGATCGCTATGTCGCAGACAACATTGTTTCGTACCTGAATTTTGCGCTTCAGCCCGATCATTCTCCTGTACAGCCCCACGGTTCGCCCGGTATAAGCTTCTTTCGAAGTGGTAAAAACGTATACAGTATTAAAAAAAAAAAATTTGAATATGGTTTCATCCGTTAGAACCTCCAAGCAGATATCACTCCCTAGATCCTAATAATCATTGGAGAACAGTGATTTCACGTGCAATGGAAATATGGAAGTCATCAACGTATTATTTCGCCCAAATAATTCATTTCTTGGTTCTACGAAGATTCATTCGGTTAAAAAAAAAAACACAGCCATCCCAAATAATTACTGTATATTTTTGTGCAAATCACGACTCCAAACATATTACTAAATGCAACCATTCATCCACGCTTTTATAAAATCTGCTTTTCATGCAGGCCTCCAAGTCACACAGAATGATAAGCTAGCTTCAAAAGTTATATAAAATTACTGTACTGTACAATAATTACAAAAACTGGCTCTAAGTCAACACTTCCCTTTCCAGATGGTAGTAAACACCCAGAAGCTGAATTCCACTGGATCTTTTCATTAAAACAAGGCCTGCTTTTTAAAAGGGTAACTATACTGTACTGTACTGTACTTCCAATTCCATACTTTGTATTACTCACAGTTTTCTTTTCATTTTTTTCCAAAGGAATGAACAACTACAGAACTGATACAGTAATTTCAACTTTGTTCTGAAGCTTCAACAGTTGATACATGCGAACAAACAGACAGATTCCCAAAGGGATAAACGTAGATGAACTTCCTGAATTAAATTCATGGTTATTCGTGTCGAAATGAGTACTGAATTCGCGCAGTGATTCTGGGTAAAAACAACGTTCTCTTCAAAAACCAGGGTGAAATATTCAGTTGCAAAACCCGCAGTGTGTTGGACAACTGAAACTGTCGCGATCAAATGAGAACAGAAGTCTTCACGAAGATAAGGTCATCGAAATAAAATGCAGTTATCGCCCAGAGAATTACGGTTAGCACAGTGTTATGCTAAAAAAAAGAAGAAGAAATTTTCTAAATTATTTCCAAAAACTACAATGAATTTCTGCACCGATTCCAACGGGAATGGCATGAATCAGATGCTCAAAAATTTTCTGTTAGAGAACAGATTTGTGGACTCAGAAAGAAAATGACTTTTTCTTTCGAATGTTGCCGTATACAGTACGGGAACACAGCAGAAAATATTTCACTTGAAGAGACCTTGAACAAAAATAAAAATCCGCCCAGAGATACGAAAACGTCTCAAGATACGGACACTTTTCCAACATCTCTGAAAAAATTGAAGACTATTATTTACATAAAGTTCGGCATTTCTAAGAAATTGAGGTACAGTATTTCTAGTAGAAAAAATTAAAATTAAATGTAAAGTACAGTAATCATAAAATTGCTTCAATCCATAAGCAACAACAGGCATACGTTCGGCTTTATTTTGGACAAGTTTTACTCATCATGCTGCGTGCACAGCATCGTTATGCTCGTTCAGGTTGTTGGCCAGGGATCAATCAATAGCTTTAATTCGTAGTAGGGAGAATTTCAATGTAAAGAACCCCTAAAAATGGAGGGAGGGAAGGAAAGAGAGACAGAGAGATTTCACTAGAGGAAAGGTCATTTTTAGGTCCCTGCCCAATAGCCGAAATGTTCGAAAAGTTCCTTCCAAAGGAAAGAAAGCAATCTTACTGGATCGACATGGCTTTGTCGTAACAAGATTTTACCGCACTTCAAATACGATTGGATTCGAACTAAGTCATAACCCAAACTTGCTCTTGAAATAAAATGAAGATTGCCGCCAAAATCCCCTCCGCTCTTGGTTCGTCATTTGAAGATATGTACAGCAAATGAAAGCATTCCATGGAATGTGCAAACATTCACCCAAGTTTTCAAATAATAGAAAATCGGAGAGGGACACCAAAAAAAAAAAAAAATTACACGCAAAAGTTGCGAAACTTCTTTCAAATGGATCCAAGGGATAAAAGAAAAAGTCAACAGCACCCGGTGTTCCCAGGCGGTCTCCCATCCAAGTACTAACCGGGCCCAACGTTACTTAACTGCCGTGATCGAACGAGAACGGGTGCTTTCAACGTGGTATGGCCGTTGACATCCAATGGAGGGAAAGGAACAGGCACTCGTAGCACTACTGCACCTAGTTGATCTGATCGATATTTTGAATTCATGCCAGCGTTTCAAGTTTTACAGCCTTAGGTAATAGAAGGGACCATTGAAAATCATTGAAACTGGAAGTTTGCCATGTCTGTTGAATAAATTCATGCAATACCGGTATAATCAACGCATGTAGGGCGAATCTTCTGAGGAAAAACAATTTTTGATGCCATTAGAGGATCATCCTAATGCCAGGACATAAACGCTCATTTTCATTGGCTTGCAGAAGCCTGAATGCAAACAATTGCACTGGATTTTCTTCAAGAACGGGAAATAAACGCGTCCGCCGATCCCTTGGTCAGGAGAGGTCCCCCATATTGGAATAAATTGAATTCTGCTGAGAACTTCTTGATCTTCTTCACTTTCCAATTGAATAAAAGAGCAAGGAACAAACATTGTTTTTTTTTTTTTTTTTTTAAGCCTTGAAGGAGCAATATATTTTATTCTGCGTGAGGAAAAAGTCAACAGCACCCGGTGTTCCCAGGCGGTCTCCCATCCAAGTACTTACCGGGCCAAACGTTGCTTAACTGCCATGATCAAACGAGAACGGGTGCTTTCAAGGTGGTATGGCCTTTGACATCCACACTGACCAGTGGCTACTATTCTCATTCTGAAGCAAGGGATAAGCAGTGAATAGTTGCAATGCACGATTTTGGTGGAATTGAAAAAAACCTAGGGTGTATGGCTCTTCAAGGATACCAGAAAGCCATGCGCTTCGTTTCGGAAACACATCTTGATACTCAACGCAAAAAGAAATATAGCACTTCCAGAGGAGAGAAACACATTGTAGAAACAATTTGGTACCGACACGATCGATTTTACTTACTGTGCCAGTGTTATGTACATTGAGCAAATTAGTAAAAAAAATTCGAATTACGTCGTTGATATATCACGAGGCACGCACTTAATACAGTACTCCAATAATCCCATGAATACAAGAGCCACTCTCGGAATAAAAAAAAACATTAATCATTGGGTGACTGAAATCGCATTTTCCTCTCGGGTCATTGGATAGAAAATCAAGCAGGTGCTTTATACTTTTTCGCATTCTCTAGAATTTGTATAATCCTTTACGACATTCAAGGGCAGCTTTGCAGAACACATGGGTCAACCGTTGAAGTGGCTCCCGAAAATATTACAGGAAAGGCAAAAACAAATAATTTATTCTTGAAAATCCGTCGGCATTGAAGGAATCTACGAATAGTTGAAGGTTGCCTCACATGCATCTTCAAAAATTTTTAAATACAAGAAATTCTCAAATGCAAAGAAATTAGAGAAGAAAAATAAAAATTCTTGCTCATGATTCGGTCCGTGCAGAAGAATTTTCAAACGGTATTTTCGAACATTTAAGCCACGTCATTCATTTATCAAGTTCATCTTCATCAATTCAAAAATCACAAACGATCTTCTGAAAAATGATTTCTGAAAAATTTCGGAGAGAAATCAATCGGTTTCGACAGCACGGTTTGCAGCAATATGATGGTTTCGTTAAAGTTTTGATTTCTCAACTCCCTCAAGCCATGTAAATGAATAAAAATGAATTGCTGCTTTAAAAAGAAACACAAGTAATCATACAACTGAAAGGCTTCGAAATCGCGGTTTTAACATGACAAAGAAGGTCACATCCGATTGAGGAATACTTCCATCACACAAATTAAAATTTCAATACAAACGAATCACTCGATTTTGATTTTCTCCAACTATAGAAGCAATTCTGGATGACTCAAAAAATATTCGTCACAACAGAAAAAAAAGCATAAACTATAATTCTAATGCTAGTACCAGAAATATGGACTTTGTTCTCAAAATCATTCTAAAATCAAACATGTTCGATTCCGAAAAAATATGCACAGAGGAAACTGCAGATATGATTCGAAAGACTCACAATCGTCGTCCTCCAATGAAAGTCTCCACAGAAATAATGGAACTGTGCTCCATTTTGGTTCTGTACTTCGACCTTTTCCTACTGAGACAGCGAATATTTTCAGGAAACGACAGACGTAAACGGTTCGATATCAAGAAAGAGGAATACTGTACATTCATGACCAAGAACAATCATAGTCTCTCATGGGAGCAAAGATAAAAAGTCAACAGCACCCGGTGTTCCCAGGCGGTCTCCCATCCAAGTACTAACCGGGCCCAACGTTGCTTAACTGCCGTGATCGAACGAGAACGGGTGCTTTCAACGTGGTATGGCCGTTGACATTCTCCCTCTCGAAAACAACAGGCACTTGTACCAAAATACAAAACAA